AAACATTTATCAACATTACCTAGATTTTAATCAACAACATTCACAAAAATATTTTTATCTGCAGTTTTGAGCCCTTCCATTTAACTACCTTCTCTCCTCTGGTGATTTATTATCATTCATTATGCATCTAGAGTTTTTCTGCCCTGTTCATTCAGTCTCATCTTTTCCCATGTGCTGCTTCACAAACAATAATAGATTGTCGATCTTCATTTACATCCTAAAAATGCTCAACAACTTCCTTCCATTTTGTACAATATACCCTGAGTAAGAATCTAAAGACATATAAAGATACAATATGGAAGCTGGTATATTATTGATGTTACAAGGTTTCTTGCATGCTTTCCTTGGGTGTAACACAAATGGCTTTACAAAAAATATCCTGGTGTCCGCTCGACTGTTTTTGCTTATAAGGGAGGATAATTTACTCTCCTTTCGTGAAACAGGTTTGGAAATAAAGTAAGACAAAGTAGCAAACAGGGAAAAGATTATGTATATCCTTTCTCTCACATGGTAGTACTCCAACTCACCATCTGATAAATATATGTCTATGTAATTTTGTTAAATGTGTTTTTGTGTAACATGTACTACAGTTATAACTAACTGTATTATTCACTGTATTCAATTAATTCCTCATCCTATTATGTGCTAGACAACATTAGTATTTAAAACTAATTGGCCAGAATCTTGTAGCCGATACATGCTTGTGTAAGTGAAACTGCATTAAGTTGTGATGATAAATTGTTGGTTGCATTCCTAGTACTGGTTGTATTCCTGTGTTTGTGGCAAAAAGGAGCAGAGAATGCACTAGACACTCTTAGCAAGAAATAAAAAATAAAATTATAGAAGAGGGACAGATCCATAATCAAGAATGTGCTGAAGGAGCAACAAACCAAATGCATGTGTGATTAAAGTTATCTATGAGAGCCATTTACTAAATAATAGGTTAGAATAATACCTTACACTTTCCTTATATCCACAAGGAAAAATTAGCAAGTCTATCCAGGGGGTAGGGAGAGGGAATGTGACTTTGTTGGTTTTGGTTGGGCCTGGAAGGTACCGTTCTTCAGGTTCTGGCTGTTCCTTGAAAGTAATGCTGGAAGATTCCTGATGGATGTACCTGCCATGCAATATAAACTCTACACCTATGTTACTTAACATCCAGACAGAATTGCATGGAAAGACTACTCAGGAATATGAAGCAAGACATTGTCTATGTGCAGATGACACATAGTTTTATTTCTTCTTTATATCAAATGGCTTTATGTCTTCTTGGTATCACAAAGTTTTATTTCTCCTTTGTATCTCTTTTGTATCAGAATTTTCAAATACTTGAAAAGTAGTCATACAGAAGAGGGGCAAGATCTGTTCCAGAACATCCCAGAGTGCAGGACACGTAACAACGGGCTCAAGTTACAGGAAGCCAAATTTAGGCTCAATATATGGAAAAACTTCTTAACTGTTAGAGCAGTACAACAATGGAACTAATTATCTCAGGAAAGTGGTGAGCGCTCCAATGCTGTAGGCATACAAAAGAAAACTGGACAATCATTTCTCAGATCTGCTTTGATCTGGATTCCTGCATTGAGCAGTGAGTTAGGCTCAATCGCCTTATAGGCCCCTTTCAACTCAATTATTCTATGATTTTGTAACAAGAAAGCTGCTGAGGATGTGAACTTGTGCCTGGAGGCAGTTATGATCAGATGGGGCCTAATAAACTGACCTTTAATACAAACAAAACAGAGGCTCTCCTGATCAGAAGATCAACACAATGGTCAAAACAATGCTAGTTGTCAATACATTTGATGTTGTGCATTAATACTTTTTCATCTGTGGATTTGAACATGGTTGCTTAATAATATGGCTTTCCCTTTCACTAGGTCAAAAGGACAATGTTGCTCTTATACTGCAATAACTTAAGATTTGTCATTGCCTTGAAAGGTCACTTGGGAGAAAAAGTAGCAGGACTTAGAAAAGCTTCTTATGCATCACGAGGAAGGCAGAGAGCAGAGTTGGGGCATGGGGAACTTAACCAGCATTGATTACATTGGGGTCAAAGTGCAACTCTTTATGGATTGTTCCATTTCAGTTAAATTGGTTTAACAAAAAAATAAAATAAATAAAAGCAATTTGTTCACAACAGTAGAAGACAAAAAAAAAACAATTTGTTGAGAACTAGGAGACAATAAATGGGATGGTTTATATTTTGTTGCTTCCACGTTTGCTATTAGCTAGCAATGCTTTTAATTAACATTTTTAATATAGTGGTATTCATTTTTCTTTAATATTTGTAATTTTTGCTGTTTTTAGCTTTTAATATGAGGTAAGAGACCTTAACTTCTTTTTTAGGAGAAAGGTGGGGAAAAATATATTAAATAAATAAATACTTTAGAGGAAATTAACAGTATTTTAAAAAGCTGGCCAGGAGCAGAAAAGGTATTTTGAGGCCGTAATTATACATGGACAGCACTTATCTTTCAAATTCTAGTCTTTTCCAACTACATATAAAGTGGGAAGAGTACATTTAAGAGCTCAGTGACTGATACTGGACCCCTCCACAGGTTTCCTCCCTGGAGTCCATCACCTATCTACATTTTCACCTAGTTCGGCTCTAATGCCAGGAGTCAATATAGCTTGGAGAGGGCACTGCAAAATTCTGTCTTGCTTTCCTGCTAACAATCATTCTTTACAAACAGCTCAAAAGAATAAAATAACAGCCACAGAATTATTGAAGCTAGCTTAATTCATTAAGGGAAGGAGACTACTCATTTTTTTCAAAGTGCAGGGAACTCTTTCAAAGAATGCATTAAACTGGTACCCGGCTGCTAAGATAGTTCCATCTGTTTGAAGTGGAGTGGCATTCCAAGGTCTGGGAGGCAATACAGAAGAGAACCTGCCATGGTCAGTTACCTCGCCTCTCAATTTGGAGGCCACACCAATCAGGGCTTCAAAAGAAGAAGCATAACACACAAGAGTTTTACGGAAGTTGACTGTCTCTAAGATAGTCTGCCTATGAAGCTATGGGTTTGGGTCCTGCCATAGACAATACCCTTTCCATCTGCTTTACATAGAGCTGAGGCAGACCACCATCAGCTGTAAGTCTAGCTCAGTCCAATGATTTGTAATCCTCATGTAAATAGCAATTACTAATGGGTTTGCCACAAATCTTCTATTAGAGTAATGGTTCCCAATCTTGGATACCCAGATGTTCTTGGGCAAAAAAAAACACAAAAAAACCCCACAGACTTTCACCACTAGCTGTGCTGGCCAGGATTTCTGGGACTTGCAGTCGAAGAACATTGGGTGACCCAAGGTTGGGAACCAATGCACTAAAGAAAAACTTAGTGCCAACATGAATTTATTTGTGTAACACAAAACATGGTCTGGTAGCACAGCTGAACCACGATAGGCACTGTACTAGTTAATCAATTAGTTATGTGCTGTCAAGTTGAAACAGACTTATATCAACCTTAATAGGGCTTTCAAGGTAAGTGAGATATTTAAGAAATGGTTTTACCAGTTCCACTTCCTCAGTGATTTCAATGGCTGGGTGGGGATTCAGACCCAGGCTTCCTGAGCCCCTGGTCCATCACTGTATCCACTACACTGCACACTAGGTACTGAACATGGATATACATAAAATATCCAGTACCTCATGACAAATCCCTGTACTATGCATCACTCTGAATAAAAAAAGGTTTACAATGGAAAATGTCATAGTTATTGATTTTTATTACGGCTAACAATGATATCTAAGGCCAATATTTAATTTTATTGTAATTGATTTCTTATGTATTATAAGTTGCTATAAAAGTTTTACCAATATGCTGCCATAATATATGTTTCTTTTATTAAACTAAATTATGACAGTGGTAGAGTTACACAGAAGATTTCTTCAAGCAGAACAGAAAAATGGCTTGCTCCTGAACATAAAGCAAGTAAGCAATCTCTTTTAAACCTGCTGAGATCAAGTTTTGGAACCAAAATATAGGAGACTGACCAAGCAGCTAACCATTAACAGTAATGAAAGAGCAGAGTCATGTTAATATGTCTGGACTTCTTAACATATTTCAGTGTCAATCATCACAATATCCTTTGATTAATGATAGATCGCAACCAAGTTAAAACTTACACTGGATTTGGGTACCACTTGGTAGCAAGCAGTTCACAGAATACCCTCAATGTGAACTCCCCCTGTCATTTTTTACACCTCCACAATTGCACACCTACTGTCATGTATACCTGGTGCAAGTTATGTAAAGGAAAAACTGGTTTGCTTTATTTCATGTTAACTCGACCCAAGGAAAAGGAGGGCCTTTCGAACTCCCCCTGTCATTTTTTACACCTCCACAATTGCACATCATGTATACCTGGTGCAAGTTATATAAAGGAAAAACTGGTTTGCTTTATTTCATGTTAACTCCCCCACCATAGTGGCAACATAAAGAGAACATAACCATATAATTTAAGAAATTTAAGGTTCTTCAGCCTCAACAAGAATCTGGAAAAAGGCCCCCCGATCAAACAGATTCTGTCCACTCTGTTTCCGCGAATCAGACACAGTAGCCCATATTTTACTTCGTTGCCCCTCTCACTCTGCCCTTAGATCTTCCTTGCTACACCCTTTTCTCCTAACCCTCCCTCCCTCCCTCTCTGACCCCCTCCCAATTCTTCTAAGTGATTACTTTCCAACCACTACCCATCTCGTGGCGGAATTTCTGTCAACTATTCTTATGAGAAACCGTAATCCCCATCCCTCCCAACTTCAGTTTTAACCTTCCCCCTCTTTACTTCCCTGGTTACATTGTCTATTTTTCTTACTGTAATCAAATGCCAATAAAGGTTTATGTATGTATGTTAACTCCCCCACCATAGCGGCAACATAAAGAGAACACAACCATATAATTTAAGAAACTTAAGGTTCTTCAGCCTCAACAAGAAGCTGGAAAAAGATGCATGTTTTAGTTATGAAAGAGAAAAGGTAAATAAAGAAGCAGCTGTACCTTCTCTGATGGCTGTAAAGGGAGTTCCTTCCTCCTCTTGAAGTCTTATCACCTTCAGTGCTACAAGTTTTCCGTTCACTCTGGAGTAAAAACAATGACACACCACATACACAAATGTAGAGTTCACACAGCATTTCAACAATAGTCTATTCTTTCTGCAAAGTTACTCTAATACATAATAGAAAACATTTCGATTTAAGCACTTCCTATTTTCAATAAACATGCCCTTCAAACTGTTGAATAAGGAAGCAGGATCCAATAGACCAATCTGCCATCGGAACTACTTTGAACCTTGAGATTCTGCACCAGAGGCCTAAAACCATCCAATAGTTGGCAGGGCAGCAAAGAATGTGGGTAGAACTGCATCGGCACAATGCTGGATTTAGCCTGATTTTCTAGCAATGGGATTGCAGGTCACAGTGTGTTCATGAGCAACTTTAAAATTACATCCCATGCACATATTTTATAATATTTCTTTTGCTGTTAACTAGAGATCAGTCTCCCTCTCATAATTGGAAAGGCCTAAGATCAGTTCATATGTCTCATGTGTATTCTCCTACATTTTATGTACTGCTTCTCTTCCAAAGAAAAAAAGATTTGTGCTCAGTGGATTTATGTACAGTCATTACCTTTTACAGTTAATTCTGTAATTACACAGTATTAACTGGAAAAGAAGGCAAGACAAATTTGTGATCATAACATACTAGGAATTCTAAATAATTTTAGGTTGCTTCCCCATCCTATGAAACAGCTGAATTTCATGATTCTCCATATTATTTCTTTAAAAAATCATTTTTCTCTAATTCAGGAGAGTCATGGTTCAAATGACTACATAACATTCGAGGAATAAACATTTATTATACTATGACCTTCTATTTAGAAAATAAAAGTTTGCCTAATTGTTACTTTATTACAGAAGAATTTTTAAAATACTTTATTTTTTTAAAAAAGAAGTAGTGTATGTTTGATTAGGTTTTCAGACAGAAGAAACAACCTGGTTCAGCTAAATGCAATATTTGTACGCAGTTTTGCTTTTCCAGCTGTTTCCACTGATGCAATTCTAAATCCTTTCATGCCTTGTGAAATGAACAGATGTGGCTATCACAATATTCCCTTACAGCCAACAGAGAAAAATTTGATATGCTGAAAATTAGCTACATGGCCTATTAAATCTCCCTATGCATCTATCCTGATTACAGGCTTTTTTTTTCAGTACCACCCAGATAAGTTTATTTGATCTCGGTCTCCTAAGTCATAAGTTACTAAATGACAAGAAAGAAAGAAAAAAGAAAATCCATGACCAATAATAGCATATAAAGAATGTGGGAAGAAGAAAAACTGTCGTTACCTGTCTTAATTCTCTTAATATAGTTCACACAAACTAAATATGAATAGTTGAATGGCTACTTTTTTGGAAATCTTTTGCCTCTCTATTACTACAACTATTTCCCTACCCTGCTTGTTGTTAAAGATGAGGATCGCTCTTCTCTCCACATTTCTGTCACAAGATTCTGGCTCTCTTGTAATTCAGGCCATTCAATGCCCCTACATAAACAACTCATATTGACTTTCTGTCTAGTTCAGCACTAATTCTACATTTTTGCCGTCTGCCTACAGCTTGGAGAAGCAGACACATCAGCTGAAGAATTCTGAAAATTATAGCGGAAAAAAAAAGGAATGTTTCAACATCTGCACCTTACCTTCTTCATCTATTTGCCCTTGTATCATCATATTTTCCTGTCTACTACTTTCATTAGCATCTGCCCCTTTTCTGTTCCTATAAACAAATGCGCCTTTCCTCTCTAGCTTCTCTAGAAGCCTGAAATTACATTCCAGAGACACCACTTCCACTACCTCTGAAACCACTCTTAAAGCGACTCTTGGTATAACCTCCCTGTTCTTATTTCTTAGCAAGACTGAACCCAAATGGTTCAACAGAAAATAATGCACAGCCTTCCCTAATGGCATTTATTCTCACCTTCCCTCCCTATCTTGTTTTTCCTCCATGCCCAATTTTGGACTGCACACTCTTGAAGACAAGTAGTTGGTCCTGTAACTCAATACTTTACTTCAGGTGATCAATACAATTCTTAAACTACAAGCAAAGGAGGTACAAAACCCCCATCGCCTTCCCAGCTCTCATGTATGGAGAGCTAAATCTGAAAAGGAAAAGACTTTCTGTATGGTGCATACCCACACAGGTAGGAATCCTGACTTTTCAAGTACAGTGGTGCCCCGCATGACGACAATAATCTGTTCCATTAAAATCGCTGTACAGTGAAATCGTTGTCATGTGAAAAAAATCCCATTGGAATGCATTGAAAACCGGTTAATGCATTCCAATGGGGAAAATTCCTGATTGTCCTGCGAAGATCCTCCATAGGGCGGCCATTTTGTGATCGCTGTCTTGTGAAAATCGGTCTGGAAAACAGTGGGGAGCCATTTTGCAAACCACTGATCAGCTGTTTTAAATCATCATCTTGCAAACAATCGGTTCGCGAAGCACGGACCTAATCTTCGTTAAACGAAAATCCCCTATAGGAAACATCATTTTGCGATCATTATAGCAATCACAAAAAAAGTCATCATCAAGTGATTTTGTCATCATGCAGGGTAAGCGTCTAGCGGGGTACCACTGTATTAAAATCAAAAGAGGAGCTTCCACAGGTACAGAACCCATTCCTCTTCAAATTTAGCTCTTCACGTGCAAAAGGTGAAGGGTGTAGTCCACTCCTGCAGAGAGTTCTACTGAATGTCTGAATAAGGCTGCAAAGCTATGATTATTCATAGCTACTACTCCACACACACTCTCTCTCTCTCAAGTTGTCTCCTTTCTATTTATTCGGAAGATAAATATTTATTCTATATTTTAGAAACTGGGAGGCTTGGCACTGAAGAGATGTGCATATACAGGAGTAACTCTCTTCAAATTTCCTAAGATTTGGAGGAATTATTTTGTAAAGTTATCATGTGGAATTACAAGATGGCTACCCTAATTCAAAAGATGGCTAAAAACACTCACCTGAGGCATTTTTCAGTCGGCTTGTATCATGGGCTACTTTCACAAAAAGTAGACTTGTCTGAGGGCTGCTATTCTCAGCTTAAATTTCAGACTGGAAGGAGGTTTAATTTACCCTGGGAGCGAACATTCAATTTACTCAAAGTGCCAATTTTCACTAATTTAAAGTAGCTATGGAAGATAAAATAATCATTTCTCTTATGAATTTGTACCTTGTTGCAGTGTGATACCTGGTTAAAACAAAATTAGACCTCATAATTAAATGAGGGGAAAAGATGCTAAAATAGAAGACAACAGACTATCTCTACACCAATGTCAAAATGTCAAAGAGGAAAAGCTTTGTTATCTTTTTAATTATAAAAGGACACAGAAGCTTCCTTGCATCATATGTTTGGACTTGTGGTATGGTTAATACTTTAACTGGATCACTTTACTGGACTACACAAGTCAGAATCTTGTTTCTACTCATGAATCACACTTTTTCCATCTGAAATCAAGCTTTTCAACAACATGAACGCTCTGCTTGGCTTATACACTATAACATAATACAAAATAATAGATAGGTAAGAGGGAGATATTTGTAGAATTTTGTTTTATTTGCCTGTAGAAAGTATACAAAATGGTAAGCTAAATATCAGTGGCATATTTTACATTCGGAGAAAACACAACACTCTTCCTATCATGTGCTAACTTCAAAAGCCACCAAATTTAATTGAAGGAGACTGATATCTCAAATTACAGAGTATGGACCTTGGATTGACTTAGTATCAATGAATGGATTCCTTTTGAAAAATTATGCTAAGTATCACTGATTTCATATTTAAGGCAGTTTAGTTGAACCTTTTTAACATGGTGATTTACTTGCACTGGACATCGTGTCAATTAAGGAATAAGTTATGAAATTGTCGTCCAGCATTTCAATACTTTCATTAAATATGTTACTATTACACTAATATACTTACTTGCTTTTGCCTTTGTATACTGTGGCATATGAACCTTCACCTAGTTTTTCCAGTTTTTCATAAGAGTCTGCTTTCCCAAACTTGGGACTTGTTGGCTAAAAAGAAGGAAAAAAAGGACATGTTTTTTACTATTCATGTACTGACATTAACAGCATTCATTCAAGCATGAAGACCAAATGTTATTACCAAAACTAATGAGATTATACTTCAGATATTTAATGCTTAATATTGTCGTCTACCAAGGGCAATGGTTAATGATGTCTGCCTAAACATCACTCAGCATTCCAGATGGTCACTGCCTATTTCAACAGTATTCCTATAACACTGGAAACATCAGAAAGGTTTACGTTGCAGAAGAATGTAATCTGAATTTGCTGCAGAGTTTATGTGCAGATGTGAATACTTAACAGCTGCATTAAAAAACATATTTAGCAGACACAAAACTGAGCATGCTCAATATGTTAGACAATGCACTCAAATATGCTTACAAAAACAGTTAACTTGTTCTCAGAAAAGGAAGAATAAATTTACTTTTTAAAGTCAAGAAAACAAAGCTAAATTTTTATTTTAAAGTTTTAAACATAATACTCCCCCAAGCATTACAAGCACTTTCTAAATAACTTTTGGTTTATTTTTATATATATATTTTAATTAATCTATGCTGTACTAATTAAGTAAGAATGTAGATACCCCCCCCCAACAGATCATACAACATTCTCCTCTAACTAGTGACCTACTTTCTTGCTTATTTTTCATCAGGATGAAAAGATTATAAAATACAGAGATCTAATACAACTTATTTCACCAAATTGTGACTCTTTCCTCATTCTGCATTAAGCGCCTGGTTCAATAGAGGATCAAAAATATGACCACAACCTGTGGTTTCCTGAAACTTGCTGTAAAATGCTTAATGGTGCCTCTGCGTGTATGTATGCAATATTTTGATTAATTAAAATAAATGTATCTGATTCATGATTCTGTAGAATAATGACTAGGCAAGGTAAGCACACTGAATTCCACTCCTGACTCAAATTACCAAATTTCTCACATGTACAGTTAACCTAAAGGGAAGGATTGATAGAAGTTCAAAGATATCAGGTGACTATCTACTATTTCAACAAATTAGGGTGGCTTTAGTTGTTGTGGGTTTTTCGGGCTCTTTGGCCTTGTTCTGAAGGTTGTTCCTAATGTTTTGCCAGTCTCTGTAGTTGGAATCTTCAGAGGACAGCACTCTGTGCTCTGGTGTAGATGGGTGATTAGTGTGTCTTGTTGTGGGTGTATTATTGTGATAAGAAGGAGAGATTATCTGTCACTGTGGTTGACGGGTGTCATTAGCTGGTCTTTTGTGTCTAGTGATCCCCGGTCTTTGTGGTGGGTAGAGTTCGTTGACCTTTTGCACGTTGTATTTTTGGGAGCTGGTGACCTACTTTCTTGCTTGTTTTTCACCAAGTTGAAAAGATTATAAAATACAGAGATCTAGCACAACTTATTTCACCAAATTGTGACTCTTTCCTCATTCTGCATTAAGGGTGGCTTTCTTTGTACATTATAAAAATTGTTTGCTAATTATTCAAATGATGTTACAAGTTCCCATTCCAAATTATCCCTTTCAAATTTCTTTATAAGGATAGAGGAGATGGTTGAATTTCTTAGGTAAGTTTGCATGTAATATATTTAAACTTTCAAAAGCAAATCAAAATCAAAATACAGTGGTGCCCTGCACGGTAACATCAGTGCTGTTATGTAACACAGAGATCTAACACAACTTACTTCACCAAATTGTGACTCTTTCCTCATTCTGCATTAAGCACCTGGTTCAATAGAGGAGCAAAAATATGACCACAACCTGTGGTTCCCTGAAACTTGCTGTAAAATGTTTAATGTGGCTCTGCATGTATGTATGCAATATTTTGATTAATTAAAATAAATGTATCTGATTAATGGAAAACAATACGTATAAAAGATAATATAATGAGTCTGTAGAATAATGAGTAGGCAAGGTAAGCACACTGAATTCCACTCCTGACTCAAATTACCAAATTTCTCACATGTACAGTTAACCTAAAGGGAAGGGTTGATAGAAGTTCAAAGATGAAGATATCAGGTGACTATCTACTATTTCGACAAATTAGGGTGATCATCGCAAAGCAATGTTTTCCCATTAGAACCATCGCAATGTGATCGCTTTTGCATTCGCAAATGAACACATCGCTATGCGGATTCATCGTTAAACAAATCGCTCGTTATGCCGGGCACCACTGTAATTATATATTTTAGCAAATCAAATAAAGTAACCACTAACTCATTCCCAAATAATGAAGTACCCTTGGCAGTCACTTCTTCCATTTCTTATGTACTGCCATATTATATTATGTAGGGGTGAGAAATAAGATTAGGCTGGGGGAAGAGTCAGGGCTAGGCTTCATAAAGATCATGTAAGAAATGGACTCCATCATTAGTTTCAGAAAATTGTTAAATGTAGAATTGACATCTTTTGGTTTAATTGAGCATCTGAGTGTATTAATTTGAAGACGGACCAGAAGGATTTTTACCTGCCGAACATGCAATATGGACCTCAGAAAGAAACTCCAATTCATTTTGTTCTCACAGATGGTTGTCTAATTTTCCCCTGAATGACTCCAACATTTATCCCTTTCAAATTTCTTTATAAGGATAAAGGAGATGGTTGGATTTCTTAGGTGAGTTTGTATGTAATCTATTTAAACTTTCAAAGGCAAATCAAAATCAAAATATAGCGCTCATCACCTCCCAAGATAATTGGTTGCACTGTTGTACTGCTGTAATAGTTAAGAAGTTTTTTTTTTTGAAACTCAGCTTATGTCTGGCTTCCTGTAGCTCGAGCCCATTATTGCACATTCTGCATTCTGGGATAATTGATAAAGAACAGATCCTCTGTATGAAAGTGTTTCAAGTATTTGAAAAGTACTATCATATCTCCCCTCAGTCTTCTTTTCTCAAGGCTAAAAATGACCAGTTCTTTTGGTCTGTCCTTATCGGGCTTGCTTTCCAGACCCCTGATCGTCTATCGTCCTCTGAACTGCTTCTAGTTTGTCAACATCATTCTTAGTATGGTGTCTAGAACTGGAAACAATACTCACAATGAGGTCTAACCAGTGCCAAATAGAGGGGAACTAGTACTTCACATAGCCTGAAGATACAGATAAGCACTTCCTATGCAACATCTGTGGACTGGACCCACAGATGTTGCATAGGAACCCTAGATTCCGTGCCCTGCCTCCTCCTGCAGGCGCCCATTCAGAGGAGGAGGGACAGAGATGCCTGTTGAAGAGCACCAAGACCAGCCCTGAGCCTTGTGGCACCTCATTTTTTAGTAGCACTTACTCACAATGAGGCCTAACCAGTGCCAAATAGAGGGGAACGAGTACTTCACATAGCCTGAAGATACAGATAAGCACTTCCTATGCAACATCTGTGGACTGGACCCACAGATGTTGCATAGGAACCCTAGATTCCGTGCCCTGCCTCCCCCTGCAGGCGCCCATTCAGAGGAGGAGGGACAAAGATGCCTGTTGAAAAGCACCAAGACCAGCCCTGAGCCTTGTGGCACCTCACTTGTTACCAGCACTCTCTGAGTATGATCCTGTACCAACAGTTATTCTCTCCAGCCTACAGCTTGCTCATCATGGGGTACTTTGCCAAAGGATTTGTTGAGGACAAGATATATCATGTCTATAGCATTCCCACCCTCTACCAGGGAGATAAGATTATTCAGGCAGGATTCATTCATTTCTCATGAACAAATTTAACCTTTACAATTTGCCTAACAGTATTAATTCTTCAGTGGCAAAATAAAGAAAAAAAATTAAACCTGGGGAATTTTGGCCAATTAAGTGTATAAAGAGGGATTATGTAGTGCAGCTATAATATAGATAAAACTATCCAACTGGACAATATAGCAACCATACACAAATTGTTGCCCTTCTTGTTGTTCAATTTCCTTGCTTAGGTGGGATGATGACAGGCAGGAAAAGTGGGCTGGGAAGCTAAAAGTAGAGACACATTGAACCAGGAAGGAACCTGTTTAATCTCCTCTTTTTGTGCGTATGTGTGATAATAACTCCATAACTTTGTCTTTTTTTAAAAGTACCTTTCCATATCAAAAACAACAGTTCAGATTTTATCCTTTAAAAAGTACACCTGTGGAACTGCAGTCTGAAAGATAATTGAGTAAACAGCCTGGGTACCTCAACCATGGAGAACAGAAAACATTGCTGTTAATCTTGCTTCCTCTTCTTCTTCCCATATTACATTAAACACACATTAAGTTCCAACAAGGTACAGAAGTCTCTCCCTCTGATTCAGTCATGCCCGAAGTCAACCGGCAGAACACTAAACATGTAACAAGGAACTAAAGAATTTTTTACTGTAAATTACACATGCACAACCTGATATGGATTGGAACCAGCATGCACAGATGAGTGAATTATAGCATTCCCTTCATCTGATTTTCATTTTAAAAGGGGAAGGGCTGTTCGTGAGGTTAACAAAGGGAGGTAAACTCTACCTTAAAATTTCAGTGGAGGATTTGCTCTTCTTTTTTAATTGCTAAGCAAGGAGACTGAATTTTAAATTTAAAAAACAAATAACAGAGGGGGGGAAAGGCTTTGACTCCTCCACTCACCCGTTCCAGTCCCAATCTAAACCAGGGCTCGCACACATTTATTTCAGAGTTTTAAAATGTTATCATTAACTGGATGATACATGTTGAACTTAGCATGTAGTTTCACCCCAACATTTCTATTCCAAGATGACTGAAAAAAGGAAATCATTTACACATGCTGGCTGTGACACTCTAATGGCCCAAAATAACACGACAAGAACTAGTGAGATCAGAATATGTAAGGTCAAGTTTCCGCACTGAGATATACTGTGGTTTGTTGCAGGGATGAAGAAAATGTGGCCTTTGAGCTATATGCCACCTTCACAAGACTGTTTCTCAGGCATTTGCTGCACCCATTTATTGCTCCTTTCAACAGAGACACAGCACCTTTTGGATGGTGTTGTTCCAGGGCTTCTTCTTCCAAAAGTGAAGAAGACTGTCCCACAAGAGAGC